TGTAGTAACCTTGTATTTGATATAAAAATTCATTATTTGGTAAAAACAAAAAAAGTTGTTGGGAAAGCTTGAAAGTAGTCTGGCAGAAACTGGGCATGAGCCATTTACCAAGATAAGATCAAAATGTATATATGACCTAGATATAAAGGGACATAACAAAAGAAAATTAGAAGAACACAGAGCATATTACCTATCATACTTCTTATGGATAGAACAATTTATGAATAAGCAAACCACAAAGGAAACATTATTTTAGCTTCAACAAGATAGAGAGTAACCCAACAGTTACAGGTGACTTCAATATTTCTCTATTAGTCTTGGATAGGTGTCACAGAAAGATTAAACAAAAGGGAAAATATGGAAATGAACAAATTTCTGGAGAAACTAGACTTAAAAGACTTATATGGTATCTTCTGAATAGAGCAGCAAAAGAATATATATATTTATCTGTGCCACACAGAACTTTTACAAAGACTGACCACATTCAAGGGCACAGAGACATTGCAAACAAATGTAAAACATCAGAAATAGTCAATATATCATTTACAAATCACAATGCAATAAGATTAGAAACTGGTTCAGGGACCACAAACAAAAGATACAGATCCAACAGCATTTCTGTACAACAATAACAAAACACAAGAAGCAATAATAAAAAGGGAAATCTCATTCCAATAAAATATATGGGGGTCAACCTCACAAAGCACAAAAAGACTTACATTCAATTACAAAGTACTCCTTAAAGAAAGAAAAACCTAAATAGCTGGAAGAATATTCAGTGCTCATAGTCAGGCCATGCCAATATAAATAAAAAGACAATACTATGAAAATTAACTTACACTTTCAATAGAATAGATTAGACAAAGGAAATCCAGAAACAACAGAACTCAGTAACCCCAGTGCTGATAAAGTGGAAACATAAATTACCTAGGGAAACCCTACTTGATAAAACTGGAAAGCAGTCTGGCATAACTCAGGTTTAGATCAACAGCTTACACCACATTCCATAATACATTCTAAATGGATGTGACTTTAATATTAAAGATCAGACTACAAAAAAAAATGAGAAGAGAAATAGTTCATACACACACAGCTACAGTTAAGAGATGTATTCTTAACCAAAAAAGACATAGAGGCAATTACAAAAGATAAAATACATAACTTAATTACTTGATTACTTGAAACTTAAGTTTCTTAACAGACAACATTAATGTATCTAGCATAAGAAAGGAAGTGGCTGAATGGGGAAATTTTTTTTTAATCAAATGTCTCCAATAATGGTTTGGTACCAAAGATATACTAATAACTAATAAATATATAAGACTAATAGCTATTTCCTAATAGATAAAATGGTCAGTGGATACGAGCAAACAGTTCTCGAAAGACCCAACATGTTTTCACAATTACATGAAAAAATGCTGCTTTACTTCACGCTCTGCAAATTATCAAAAATGACCAAAAAAGGCCCATGTTGGAAGGGGTGTGGAAAGATAGGCACCCTAATACATTGTTGGTGGAGCTACGAAGTGGTACAATCATTCTGGAAAGCAATTTGGAATTACTGAAATAAAGTGACTAAAATGTCCATACACCTTTGACCCAGACACTCCATTACTGGGCTTAAACCCCAAGAAAGTCATCGATAAGAAGATAGTCCTTATATACTCCAAAATATTTATAGAATCACTTTTTGTGATAGATAAAAACTGGAAACAAAGTAGATGCCTATCAATTAGGGAATGGCTAAACAAATTATGGCACATGAATGTAATGGAATATTACTGTGCTAAATAAGAAATTATGCATATGATAAAAACAGAGAAGCACGGAAAGATCTATATGAACTAATAACGCAAAGAAAGTAAGCAGAGGCAAGAAAACAATATACACAGTAAATACAATGTCAATGGAAAGAAAGACACACCAAAAATCAAAAGTGAATATAACAAAATTATAAAGATCAAGTGAGACTCAAATGAAAACACATGAGAAGATACCTCCAACCTACTGTTAGTGGAGGTCCACAGGTTTTACACATTGCACATGTTTCCAGACTTTTTCACTGAGTTATTAATCAGTTGTGCTGGCTTTTTTTTTTCCCTCTAAAAAATATTATTTGTCATATAGGATAGCTCTCTGGAAGGAGATGGGAAGGGAAATATGGGATTCTATGGTGATATAAGAAACAGAAAATATCAATAAAAAACATTTTAAAAAAGAACAACAGGAAGTTAGTTTTAAATTATTGTAATATATTTGGTAACCTTAATCCTACTTTTTTTGTTCCTTTCCTTCATTCACATTTCATGTGTCTCTCTCCTGTTATAATCTGGTAAAGAAGAGATATCAAACAAATAATTGCTGAGGTCAGTTCCTATTTACATTAAAATTACTAGATTGAATCTTGCTTTAAATTTGCCTGAAGAGAGCAAAATTATAAAATTTTAAGAATAAGAAGGAAACTTAGATGTCATCTAACTCAATTTATTTGTATTCTTTCTAAAACATGACTGGTCAAGTAACACGTCTGCACACTTCCAGTAATGGAGAGTTCACTACATTTTCGGATGGACCATTCCACTTATAAACAGCTCTGAATGTTAGCAGCTTTCCTACTGTATTGAGCTGAAATCTATCACCCTGTAATTTTTACTCATTGATTCTCGTTTGGGATTCTAGAGAAATACTGAGGTCTAATTGTTCTACTACTCTCTCTTCGACAAGAGAAACCTTAGGGGGCAGCTAGGTGGCACAGTGGATAGAACACCGGCCCTGGATTCAGGAGGACCTGAGTTCAAATCTGGCCTCAGACACATAACACTTACTAGCTGTGTGACCCTGGGCAAGTCACTTAACCCCACTGCCTAGCAAAAAAAAAAAAAAGACAAGACAAGAGAAACCTTCACATGCTTGGAGATATCTATAATGTCCTTCAGATCTTTTCTTCTCAAGTATAAATCTCTAGTTCCTTCTGTCTCCTAACTCTATCCTTGTATTACCTGTCCTACATACCACAAATGTGTCCCCTCCTTATCACCAATTCTTAGAATCCCCTATTTCTTCCTTACTGAACCAGTAAGACAGGCGAAAAGGTACATGGCACAGGGCTATGATGGAGAAGCAAGGAGGAGTGCAGCTTGAGGGAAATGCAGAGATGGCTGTCCTGGGCACTCTCCTTAAATGAAGGTTCTGGGAAAAGCCATACAATCAGAGGGAGGGCCATTCCAAGGCATGAATTCCAAGGTGTGGATTCCAAGGCTGAAGTGATCTTCCAGAATGAAGAGATTTCTGGGGAATGAAGAAGTCCAAAAGAGTACAGCCTGCTTCACCACTATACACAATATACAAAATACACCATATACAAAATAAATACAAGATTATTTGGGCAGGGGGAGGTGGGGAGGCAACCACAGAGCCACCCAGGTGAACCATCATATTCTGATTTCAATCATTAATTGATACTGTTTGGTTTGGTAAACCACATATCTACCTAATGGTGCTGATATCATTCATCTTTCCATCTTGCCCACAAAGACTATCATGAAACTTTGCCAAATCCTTTGCTGAAATGAAGCTACGTTGCCTCAGTCTAGACAGATTTCATGGCATCGTGGGAAATGCTCTGGATTTTGCATAAGAACCCTCGCACTCAAATTTGGCTTTACCACTTACTGGCCATGTGACCTTAAACAAATCTCTTAAGCTCTCTAGGCCAAAGGGGCAGGAAGCCTATTTGAAGCAGCAAAGAACCTTGAGAAAGGAGGCACCATGTGTCAGGCAAGTCAACCAAAGTTTTGCTTTTGTTTTGCTTTGGAGGCAATCAGGGTTAAGTAACAGGTCCAGGATCACACAGCTGGTAAGTGCCTGAGGCTAGTTCTGACTTCAGAGCTGGTGCTCTATCCACTGTGCCACCCAGCTGCTCCTCAACCAGTGTTAATACCCAAACCACTATATCCCCTCAGAACCTAATGGAAATAGCCAAGACCATGAGCCAAGGAGACCTGGGGACAGCAGTACAGTCCCAGCCACTAGTCCAGCCCCAATAAATATCAAAGACAGGAGCAATTATTACGAAGAAGGCATCTATCATCTCTGTCACCACCAATAATCACAATGGTTGACCAAATGCCACTGACATGAGCAGGTAAGCACTAGAACCCTGGGAATAGAAGTATGCCTAGGCCACAGCTTCTGCTTCCAATCTGGCCCCCACAGCCATCATCCAGGAAAGCAAGGTCAATCCAGGGGCAGCAAGGTAGCACAGTGGATACAGTGCTGGGCCTGAAGTCAGAAAGACTTGAGTTTATATCTAGCCTCATGCACGTACTCACTGTGTGATCCTGGGCACGTTACTTAACCTCTGCCTGCCTCAGTTTCCTCAACTACAAAATGGGTATAATAACAGCTCCTACCTCCCAGAGTTGTTGTGAGGATCTGACGAGACAATATTTGTAAACTGCTTAGCACAATGCCTGGCACATTGCAGGTGCTGTGTGAATGCTTATTCCCTCATCTTCCCTTTTCCCAACTGTTGCTGAGATTCAACCTGATACTGCCTCTGAAGGTTCACCAGTCCATGCCTCTTTACTAGCTATAGGTACCAAAGACTCACAAAAGAAAGTTCTCAACACCAAAGTCCTTACACTAGTTCAACACCAGATAAGGAGATATTTCTTGTCAATGAAAGTTACAATAAAAATATACTACCACTTGCGGTACCCTAACAACTACTGGGCCCTGTAGCTGAAACCTCCTACAACCTATGTGTTGTCTCTCCTTAACAAAATGTGGGTTGCTTGAAATCAAGGAGGAGTGTCTTTCCAGCACTTAGAAAAACACATCTGCACACATTTGGTGCTTTTTCATTCATTCATCTACCCATTTAATCTCACAACTTGTAAAATGGGGACGATACTTGTACTAGTTACATCACAGTATTATTGTGAGGAGAGCACTTTGGAAACAATAACATGCCACATAACTTCATCCCAAAAAGGAAAGGAGTTTAAGTCTGGCACAATCTGCTCTTAGTGAATCCATCCTGCTTCTGAGGAACCAGTGCTTTCTCTTATAAGTAAGTGCTCATAATCCATCTGTTTCAACAATCCTTTACAGACTATTTCCTAGGGAAATTACTTGGCTTTGAAATTGGGATATTTGCCTGATTTTAGTTTTTTGGCACCTCTTCTCTTAGTCCCTATAATTTCTTGAAGATTGTGGATTACGGTTTTATTGTCATATCTACAAGTTATTTCAACACCCTGGTATGCAGTTCATCTAGGCCTAGAGACAACTCATTCAAACAGGTAAGTAATTCTTTTTCTATTGTCTTTCTTATTTTGAGCTTCAGAATCCTCTGTAAATTACATTTTTTTCTATCTAATATAGTCTAAAGCTGACGCATCTTGATGGAGAAGACATACAAAATAAGAGTTTAATTGCCTTAACCACTACTCCCCTTTAGACTCTGATGGAGATTGAACCGAAACCCAAAGGTCTTTGGAATCAAAATGTCCCCCCGACTAGCGGTCCTCTTCTCCGCCCAGGCTCCAAAGCCACAATCAAGAACATCACAGTAGAGGAGAAACTTAGCTTCCTTGCCACCATGATCATCCACTGCCTACCAACTGCCAGCACACAACCATCTTCCCCCCCAACCAAGTCATTGTTCTAGAAAACAATACTTGTGGAGATGGACCCTGGCAACTGTTTCTACAATTGTTGCAGCCCTGTTTCCTCAGCAGCCACAGCTACTGAAAACAAGGAAAAGAAAGCTCTAGACACTAAAGTCCTTGGCACTGTCAAATGATGCGAGATCAGAAATGGACAGGATTTTATCAGCAGAAATGACATTAGAGATAACGCATTACCATCTGCTTTGCCACTGCATCTTAAAGACCACTGGACCTTTCCATCTGACTTACAGATGAAACTTCTTCTAGTGTTACATTAGTCCTTGAGAGCAGGGTCTGTCTTACTTTTCTCTATGTATTTCCAGCTCTTAGCACTGTGCTTTGCACAAAGTAGTTCTTAATGAATGCTTTTTCAGTATAATTTTCTCCATTTGCCAAGTCAAATACTCAAAAGACAGGTTACCTATCATAGATGCAGAAAGCTCTTGTCACACTGTTAGGCTGGTCTTTGGACAACAATCTGCTGGCAGGCTCACTCTCAAGCATTTCTGGCTTAATAGGCACTGTCAGATCTTTTGGAACACTAGCATATAGCTGAGAACCCAAAGTTTCCCCAAATACCTTGGCACTACAAGGTAAGATTTCAAAAGGTGATTAGGACAGGATAACAACAAATAGAAGTACATCCTAGAAAGGTGACTAGGATGATTAGGAAGCTACAAACCATCTTTTTTTTTTTTTGCAATTGGGGTTAAGTGACTTGCCCAGGGTCATACAGCTAGTAAGTGTCAAGTGTTTGGTCTGAGGCTGGATTTGAACTCAGGTCCTCCTTACTTCAGGGCCAGTGCTCTATCCACTGTGCCACTTAGCTGCCCCTACAAACCATCTCATAAGGAAGAACAGAAGAAGGAAAAAAGGTCTATTTAATCTATAAAAAAGCATGGGGGAAGGAGATGACAAAAAACTACCTTTAAATGTCTAAAAAGCTGTTATGAGGAAGTTGTCATTTGATGAATTGGTATAGGTAAGATAAAATGTATTGTACGAAGCTCAAAAGGGAAGGCTTAGGACCAAATAGGCAACAGTTATAAGGAAACATATTCAGGGTACAAAAAAGATGTATAACCAATAAAATTATGCAAAAATGGAACAGGGATGCATTTGGAGATAGGTTCTAATCACTGGAAGTAATCAAATAAAGGACAACTATTTTGGGGGTATATGTTATAATAGGGATTCACACAATGGACATGAGTTTTAAATAATCTTTAAAGTCTCTTCAAAATCCAAGAGTCCATATTTCTTTTAAGTATGTCATCAAATTTATTAGGCATTTGGCTTCAGACCTCATCATTTGACTGAAAACTGCCCTCTTCAAAGTTATTAATGATCTTTTAATTGCCAAATTTAATGGTCTTTTCTTAATCCTCATCTTTTTTGACCTCTCTGCAGCCTTTAACAGTGTCGTTCACTATCTGCTCCTTTATACTCTCTTCTCTTCAGGTTTTCATGACACTACTTTCTTTTGGTTCTCCTCTCATCTATCTGACCGCTCCTTCTCAGCCTCCTTTGCTGAATCTTCACCTAAATCAGACCCACTAACTCTGGGTGTTGTCACAGGGCTCTCTCTGTCCTGAGCCCTCTTCTGTTTTCCCCTGATACTATTTCACTTGGTGATCTCATCAGTTCCCATGGATTCAATTATCATCTCTATGCTGATGATTCTCAAATCTACTTATCCAACCCTAGTCTCACTGTTGACCTCTAGTCTCACATCTACAATTACCTATTGGACATCTCAAACTGGATGTCCCATAGACAAGTTAAATTTAATGTGTACAAAACTCAACTAGCTATCTTTCCCTCAAAATCCTCCCCCCTTCCTAACTTCTCTAATACTGTTTATCTTTTCCAATTGTCCTTTTTCTGTTGATGCTACCACCATCCCCCCAGTCACCCAAGCTCATAACCTAGATGTCATTCTCAACTCTTCACTCTCTCTCACCCTTCACATCCGATCTGTTGCCAAGACCTTCCAATTTTGCCTTTGCAGCATCTCTCACATACATCCTCTTCTCTCCAATGACACTGCTACCATCTTGGTGCAGGTCCTCATCATCTGGACTATTACAATAGCCTGCTGTTTGGTTTCTCTGCTACAAGTCTCCCCCTACTCCATCCCATCCTCCACTCATCTACCAAAAAGATCTTCCTAAAGTGCAGGTCTGACCACATCACCCTCTCTAACCTGACCCCCTACTCAAGAAACTCCAGTAGTTTCCTATCACCTCTAGGATCAAATATAAAATCCCCTGGGATTCAAAACACATGATCTGGCATTACTTTTACTATCTTCTTATATCTTATACCCCTCCACATACCCTACAATCTGGTGACACTAGCCTCCTTGTTCCTTGAACAAGAAACTCTATCTCCCAATTCTGGGCATTCTTACTGTCTGTTCCCCATGACTGGAATGTTCTCTCTCCTGGCTTCCTTTGAGTCTCAGCTAAAACCCTACCTTCTACAGGATGCCCTTCCTAATCCCCCATAATTCTAGTGCCTCCCCTCTTTAAATTATTTCCAATTTATACTTTATATAATTTGTTTTTACATAATTGTTTGCATATTGTCTCTGCCATTAGACTGGGAGCTCCTTGAGACCAGTGACTGTCTTTTCACCTTTCTTTGTATTCCCAGCTCTTGGCACTGTTGCCTTGCACAGAGTAGGTAATCAAGAAATGTTTTCTGACTGAAATATTTCTTAAAAGAATAACACAAATTTCTAATTTTGATACTCCTAGCATTAGATTATGGTTCATGGGAACACTAGTAAGTGACTTTGATTGCCATCTTCTAGAGAGAAAAGTGAACATGTGGTATATGAATATAATGGAGTACTATTGTCCTATAAGAAATGATTGAGTAGGTGGATTTCAGAAAAACCTGGAAAGACTTAGATGATTTAAGACAATTCTAAAACACTCAAGATAGAATATGCTATCCACATCCAGAGAAAGAACTGCAGATAGAAGCACACTATTTTTTCTTTTTTTTCTTGTGGTTTTTCCCTTTTGTTTTGATTTTTCTTTCACAACAGGACTAATGTGGAAATATATTTAATATGATTGTACATGTATAGCCTATATCAGATTGCATACCATCTTGGGGAGGGAGGACAGAGAAAAAGATTTGGAACTCAAAATTTTATAAAAGCGAATGCTGAAAACCAAAAAAATAAAAATAAAAATTTAAAACAAACAAAAAAAAGAAACACGAACATTAAGAACATGGCTCAAAAAATAAGGTAGGCTAAAGCTTCTTGTTACAAGTGCCAAGATTCATAAGGAAGTATTTTAGTAGATATATTTCTAACAGCTGCTGGCCATTCTTTAAATTTACCCAGAATTAAAGACACCAAATAAGACATACATTTTTGGACATGGACAACATGAGAATTTGTTTTACTTGACTATAAATATTTATTACAAGGCCTTTGCTTTTTCTTTTAAATTAAGAGTGGGTGAAAGGCAGAAAAAATAAATGTGAGTTAATTGAAAAAAATTTAAATAAAAAAAATGAACCAAAGAGAAAATGTGGCTAATTGTACCCTAAAGTAGGAAGGAATATAGGAGATCATGTCTGTGCCAAGACAGAGGATAGTGCGAAATGAGGGGAACAATTGTTAAAATATTTTCAACTCTGGCTTTTACTGTTATAAGAATTAAACTAAAAAACAGATCAGAATAAAAAGTTAACACTCAACCTTCCACAACTCCCTAAAATACACACACACACACACACACACAAATAACAACCTTAGGATAAAACAACACAAAAAATCAGTTGATCTTGCTTGGAAGGACGTTTGCTGATGAGCATGAGTGAGCAGGGCAGGTAGATGGCGTAGTGGATAGAGTGTCAGGCTTGGAGTCAAGAAGACCTGAATTCAAGTCCAGCCTCAAGCATTTACTAGCTGAGTGACCCTGGGCAAGCCACTCAACCCTGTCTGCCTCAGTTTCCTCATCTGTAAAATGAGCTGGAGAAGAAAATGGCACACCACTCCAGAATCTTTGCCAAGAAAATCCCAAATGGGGTCTTGGAGAGACAGACACAACTGAAAAGCAACCGAACAACAACAACCATGAGCAAGACAAACAGATATAATTTCTTCCTCCAAATGCCTAATTTATGAGAGACAATCTTGAAGTAAATGAAGGTAACAACACACATTACATAAGGGGAAGCTCATCAGAAAAACTATTGTTCCCTCTCTTGGGTCGAGCAACTCAGGAATTAAAATAGTTTGCGACAACTAGTCCACAAAGCGTATATAATACTGAGAACATGCATTCTGAAATAGATGTTAAGGCACAGCTATGATTTTTCAGTGGATTCTTAGGGCATGTTAAAAGATTTATCTTCATATGAAATTTCTTACATATGCTTTGCAAATAAGCTGGCTGTGCACACACATTTGATATGAAATGCCACAAAGATTCAAAACACTTGTACATATTTATGATAGTTTGTAACAGAAAATAACACCTCCTTTCACAAAGTAAATCATTCAGTAAAAGTTTTATACACAGTATGTGAAGGACAAAAGATTTGACATCAACAATCCTGTTCAACAAACCTTGATTAAAGTCCCACTATATTCCAAGCATTGTGTTAGTAAGCACTGAGGAGAATGACAAAAATGAAATAGTCCCTACACTCAATGTCTTTGCCTTCTTCTGCAGAGTTGCAAGACAAGTGTAAAGAAGCAGCCATTTATTATTAAAGTTAAATATAAGCATTTGAAAGCATTAAATTGCAAGCAGATTTTTGTTACCAAAAACACTGCAAGAAACCCCTTTTTATGACTTACACATTCAGCCAGAACAAGAAGACTATTAAGTATTAAGACCAAACCAAACATCAAAAAATACACCTACAAATGACAAGAACACTGCAAATTAAAGTGACTACTTAAAACTCTACATAATTTGTAAATAAATTCCTGAAATTTAGTTTTGACTATAAACAGGAAGTTAATAATATACAACCTCACATGTTGTATATGTAATACACATAACAACACTTGCAAATCTGCAAGATGAACTTCTACCTGTGTATATTTAGTCCACTAGGTGGCGCCATACACAGTATAGTGCTCTTGAGTACAGTATAGCAAAATGACAACAGTCTGGTTTTAAGATG